TTACCTTTCCACATTGGGAATGACCTTGAAACCTTGAGCTATAGACCATACCTTTCAAGAAGAGCTGATACAGTTCCTTTTAGTTAAAGCAAAAATGAGTGACTATTACCCAAGGCATTGCTAACACATGCATACCCATTTTATAACATGATGGGAACACTTGTATCTTGCTGCTTGAGCACAGCAGCTGAACTTGGATTTTATTTTTGTTTTTGTTATCTTTAAATCCTTTTCTATTTGGTTGGGTTTTTCTTTCATAGGAAATATCCAACAGCAGACTAGGAAGGATACAAAGGTTTTAATGTAGTGAGCTTCTGGTCATTGCACAGTAGAGCAAACAGTTAAACAGAAATGTGACTAAAAAACTTTAAAAGTTTGGGACTCAGCTGTCAAAACTATATGGTTCAACCTGTAACCTGGTGATCTCATAAGTTAGCTTCTACCATGAAAAATCCATGTTCAGGAAGGGGTGCTGATTGAATAACTCTTGATAAATTATTTAGGAGTTAACAGTTCTGTGATATGGAAGTGTCATTTTTTTTAAATAAGACTTTAACCAGTGCCTAATTATTATTTGTAAAATCTCTTTTCTTTTTAATAAACACAAGAGACACCTAGAAGGAGTACCTTGTCTTAGTTTACAGAAAGAACTGTGAGCCACTCTGTGTTTTGGCTGTCCAATAAGGTCTGGATATTTTTTTAATGAAACAAAGCATCTAATAGTCAAAATGCATTGTTTCCTCAGCTGCTGTATAAAAGTTAAATTGAAAAATTTTATGTAGAAGCAAGAAAAAATAGTTTAGTCTTATTGCAACTTAATGCTGCTTGAGGAGAGAAGATGATTTTGCCTGAGCATGTTTTCCTTTTTTTAGCTGTCAACCTTTCTAGTACATACAGAGGGGTTGTAGGACATGAGTTCTAGAGAAGAGAAGCTGCTGTCTTGGTCAGCTCTGGCAAAAAGTACAGCAGAGCATGGAAGGTATTTTGGTTATAATCAGTTGTGCCAGCGGGGTCAGTTGCTTTGTGTTGAATTCAGTAGTTGTCTGCAGTATGCCTGAGGGAGGAACCTGGCTGTGGGTTTGTGACACCTGCCTGTGGGTTTGTGACACCTGCCTCACCAGCTGCTGGGCTTGCAGTGGCGTGGGAGGGTGTGGAGTGTACTCTGCTGCAGGTGCTCTTTGGAAGTGCAAGCTTCAGGCTTGCTTTTGGTAGCTACAGAAGGATGACATTAACCTTTGTTCCACGTTCTTCAGTCACTGCATTCTTTGTTTTTATTGAACAACCTGAATTTACCAGTGTTTGTAGACACTCTAGATTAATTGGCCTGACTTGTCCAGAATTGTCCGAAATATATACACGGACCTTAGTGTCAGTTCAGGAGCTAGACTATGCATTTTTTGGGCATGCAGTTGTACATGTGGAAAACGACCTTGCAAATTATTTACAGAAAATAATTGCCTTCTAATAAAAACAATGTATCTTTTCACTGCATTTCAGAAAGAAGATACTTGATGTTCTAATTCCTTGAGTTAAAGGTGACCTCTTATTATTTTGTACTAAAAAGAATGCAGTGGATGTAATTGGCAAAGCTTCTCAGAATCTGAAATCAGAGATACAGCATTCCCTAAAATCGAACAGAGATTTCAGATCAAGTATTCATGCCCAAATGTCTCTTCTTTTTAACTCTGTTTTTAATCATTCATCTTTTCAGAAAATCACGATGCACCTTCAGACTAATGAGCTTCTAAAATTGTAACCCTGACTGTTTAAACTTTGATGTTAAATTGCAGTCTTTCGCAGTAGATTCTTTCCAAGGCGTTTAAAGGCAAATTATATGTTACATTTAGTTAATTGAACACCTTGATACTTGTCAGCTCTCAGTAATACCTTCTGCATTAATTTTCATCCTTTCTCAAGCCTACAAGGATTTAACAAAAAAATGTGCATGATAGTTCTTAATAATACTGCTTTTAGAGTGGTATTTTCTCCTTGCAAGCAGATCACATCAGTTGCCTTCCTTGTTCCTTGTGTGCTGGGAGGCAGAAAACCTGCTGATGCAGTCAGTGAACCTCAGCAGGATACTGTTGTCCTTCAGTGGTCGTATTTCTGATGTGGACTGTGATTTCTCTTGATTTTTAGAAAATCACGTATATCACAGATAATAGGCAAAGAAGCAGATGCTATGTCCTGAGCTAGTATCTGCAGGAGACACAACCATCTGTACCAGGAATTACACATTCTATTGGTTTATTTTCTTTTTTTTTTTTCAAAGGAAAACAAAAATGTAGACTGCAATAATGTTAGCTTGGTTTTAGTAGGATCAACCCTAGCACTCTTCCATTATTGAGGTAAGAGTGGTAGTAGCATTTTTGGTAGTATAGAACACTGGAGTTAAGGTTTTATTATACCAACAAAAGTATGGTAAATTTGTATATTATTTGTATGGTAAATTTGTATGGTAAATTTGTATATTATACAAATAATGTGTAAAGTCACAAAAGCAATAAACAGTGCATATTTTTTGTGACAAACTGCATTATTTACTGACAAAAAAGGTGTTCTGTTTGTTGAAATAGCATGAGCTAGAGAATCCCACCTACAGTTCTGTTGTGACCTTGACCAAAGCCATTTAAGCTCTTTGTGATTACATCATGCATAGAATCATGTTTACTGCTGTTGCTTGGTCTGATGTCCCTGTTCTGAATAACAAAATTTATTTGAACTTTGCGAGCAAAGGATTCTACTAAAGTGTGATTGCAGTGCTGATGTTTTATATTGTTTCAAATTATTGTGCAGGTAGTGATGCAATCTAGATATACTCATTCTGAGAAACCAGGTGAGAGGTATGAAAATAGAGGAAATGTTGTAAATTCTGCATGCTTACATTTTTCTTTCTCATGGTTTTGGATAGGATATTCAGAATAAGTAAGCCATTCCCTGCTGAAGTCCTTGTGGCTGTACCACTGCCCCATATGTACTTCTCTAGTCAGGACTCCAGAATCTGGCAGACAAATTGACTGAAGCTGTACATTATGGAAAAGAAAGACTAGATTTCATGTATTTTCCAGGGATCTTTAATCCATATAGTTGGAATTTTTTTTCCTCTCCCCCTTTAAGGGAGTCACAACTGAATTTTTGGAACTCAAAGAATGCATCCAGAGAAAACCAAGGAATTTTTATTTTAAACGTGAAAGATAATTTTTCTTTTAGTCACATTATGGTGTTGAGTTCTTTAAAAGGTAACACTCAAATGTAGTTGAATTCTTACAGGAAAATTTTTCTGTGTATACATCTATCTATCTATCTATCTATCTATCTATCTATCTATCTATCTATCTGTCTGTCTACAACATATCCTTGTTTATACCTTTTTAAAGTGAAAGTTTTGTAGCTTCAGATATACAGTTTAGTTATAACATGGCCTGTACTCTACTCAAATGAGACAAACATCTACAGCTCAGTGTCTAGTTTTTCTTTTCCAAAACAAATATGCTGAGATCTCAGACTTGTTTATTCTTTAATGTCATGGACTTTCAGTAATGGAATAAAGTGTCTTTGACCTGCAAGAAATTTTTCATTTCTCATTTAAAATGAAGAGGGAAGAAAGCCCCAAATAAATATCTCTTTTTGTTACTTTTTGCATTGCTTTCAAGTTATAATTTCAGATACTTTTTATGAAGCAGGGCAACTGAAACAGTTAAAATACCATAAAAGTTGTAGCTCTCCAGTCACATTTGGAGTTCTTAAAAATGCTTGGGATTCTTTTTTTTCAACTGGATTGAGTTTTTCTTGTATTTGTAAATCTTGCAAGTCAAACAAGTGAATAGAGGAGGCTTAATAGCTCCCAAAGAGCACCATTCTTGCTAGAAAAAGATCTGCTTGTGCATATTACATTTTCTCGGTATTTGTCCCATCAGTGAACTCATCTCATCTCTAGGGCTAAGAGAGCACTGTAAATTAAGTTTCAAGTTTGTTTAACATTTCATCTTCCAGCATGTTGTTGTAATTTAATGCTAATTATGTTGGCAGCCTTTATGAAGCATTAAACACTCTGAGAAACAAATAATTAGTAAGAGTTAAAATTAAATTGAGTTTTCCTAACAAGCCAGTGTAGTTACAGACAGCAGTCCCAAAGTTGAATGTTCCCACTGTGTACATTCTTAGTTAAGCATAGCCCCTGATTATGTGCTTGCCTGTTTAAATCTTGACCAAGGAACTGAGTTGAAGCATGAAAATCACATAGATAACACACATATCTGCTGTATGATTTCCATAGAATTTGCCAGTGGTGTAAACAATAGGCATTAAATAATTTCTGGCTTATTAATGGACTCTTCCAAGATGTTTTACATGTAGACTCTAAGACACATGCTTCAAGTGTAGATAGCGCAAAAGGTAAGTTCTGCTGCCACACCAACCAGAGTACTCCCCTCCATTAAAAACAGAGTGAAAATATGTGGATTTTTTTTTTTTGAAAATGTCATCTGCTTAAGTTCCTTCGGAGCACAGAATTTCATTCTTTCTTCAGTGCTTCATTGAAAGCAGTTAAAATGCGGTCAGAAAGTCTTGAATGAAGGCCAAGATATCAGGGAACAAAGTGGTTTTGGTAAAAAAAATATATCATTAGAAAGTGTTCTGTCATGTTCATAATCTTCAGAGAAAATAGTACAAGATCTTCCTTTATTTTTGGTAAATGTCATTAAAATGAAGATGATCACTACAAAAGTTATTCTGTACTGAAAGCAAATGGAAAACAAATTGAAAATGCAAGTTTTTTTTTTGTCTGACAAGGAAAACATCAAATTTTACTCTTTTTTAATGACTAAGGGGGGGAGAAAAGTGCAAGGTTCAGACTACATATAATCTTATACTGACAGTATGACAGAATTTGGTGACAACATGTCAAGGCCTAAAACAGAGCAAAGAAAACTGTAATTGCATCTAGCATATATAACATATTATGAAGGTCTCTTAAGCCTTTTCTTTTTGGTTACATTTAGGTGGGCAACACATCTGTCTTCAAATGTGACACTGCAGAGGTCTGTATAAGCAAATGAGGATGATGTTCCTTTATTACCACGCCAGAGTAAAGTACTACATGTTGCCCTATTGCATTATTTCTAGCCTATCTGAAATTATGCTATTCTCTCAACTTGCATTTCCCTTGAGGACCTTGTGGCAGCTGGTCCATGTGAGCTGAGTCTGCTGTAAGACATGGTGAAAAGAGTCACAGGAATGTCTTCTATGTAGATAACCTTTCTCAATCCCTCTAAATGAACATCTCTATGTTAATCACAAAAATTAACCCCAAAGTATTTTCCTAGCCTTCTGATTGGTTTGACAAAGAGAACAAAATTTCAAAAGGGAGAACCCTGGGGTTTTTTCCTTAAATATTTACAATCTTATGCTGAAATTTCATACGTAAAAAGTAAGTGGGAAAACTTGTTACAAGTGCTTTCTTTGTTTCTTTTCCCATTCAGCAATCCATAGTTATTTTTTTATACTTTATGCTTCAGAACATTAAAGGTGTAGTCCCCAATACTTTACTAATGAACTGTTTGTGAGATCTGGTACAACTTTCAGCTGACTCTCAAAAGTATATAGACATTGGGTTTGGAATTGTCTTTAGAAATATTCAGTAAAATCTGTTTAGTTTCAAGCAATGACTTACAGAAGCTAAAGTGTAAATACAGTCATTCCTTTTTATAAAATAAATTAAAATCTAATCAACAGTAAGATCAATTTGGCTGATTTAAGTTAAGCACATAGCTGCAGCAGTGTTCCTGATACAGAGTGGTAAACTGGTCCCCAGTTCTGAGTAACTCAATGAAACTTGCACTGACTGCAGGCTTCTGCTCTGATCTAAAATAAAAAATAAAAATAAATTCTGTCTAGATTTTTTTAAATGTTTATTTGTAAATTGCTGTCCTATTTAAACCAGTTTTATCCTCCAATTTATCCAGAACATACATTTTGATGAATCCAGTGTTCTGTTTTCAATTCTAAAGGAAAGGGAGTTGGCATATTATTTATTTTATTTTATTTTATTTTAGTCATCTGTTTCCAATGTCCATTACATTAGAGAACTTGCATATGTTGGTAAAATTCTTGATATCCTAATGAACTTTGGACAAAAAACCCCAAACCAGCAGGCTTTAATGACCATGAGCTTGTGCTTCAATTCTTTTTTTAGAAGGTAATACATCAGCTACAGAACTAATAAATTTTGTGATGGTAAATCAGTTCCATTAGAGAAAAATGCATTCAGAATTCTCTGTTTGTCAGAAAATCATTTTGAAGAACTCAGCTTAATCTTTGCTATATAATTTCACCTCCTCCTGTTTTCTCCGTCCATAAAAGGCTAACTTTTACCTTGTTCTGCTGTTTTATGTCAGAAAAAAAAAGGTATGTTTCATTTAAAGTCTGTTGTGATGAATTCTATTTGTACTTTCTAAAACTTTGTTTTAAGGTTTTTCTTCAGAAAACTAATTCAGAATCTTTAGATATCAGTTGATTCTGATAATCTCAATTAAAAAAAAAAATCTTTCCTCCTTCTGAGAGAGGTTCAGGTATAAAATAGTAACAGAGTATCTCCAGAGGAAGTGCAAAATGCAAGATAAGGGAAAATTTTAGAAGGGTTAGAATTAGTTGCCAGTGAATATAATGATTCGCAGTAGAGCTCATTAAGAAACTCTTTGATTTTGAATGATTCATATTTTATCATAACACAGCTTTAGCCAGCGCTTTTGCGGACCTCAAAAAATTAAAGCAAAGCAAACTTTAAAAATTAAATTCCTTCTCATTGTATTGACAAATTTTAGTGATTAGACTTTGTGAAAAATATGGGTGTAAATAAATATCCAGGCATATCTTTTAAAATAAGATTAAAAAGTACTGGAAAACAGGAGTTTTTCCTCAAGATTGCTTATCTCACTTCAGTTTCCTTCTTCCATTTTCATATATTTTAATATCACATTAACTGCATATTTATAGTAGTTTACTTTACAGAACAATTTATGATAAAGATAATATACAGAACTACAGGAGGAGCAGCTCTTGGATATTTCAGATTTTATTTCTAATAGTTAGTGTGTTTGCAGTCACTGTCTTTCTGGATTACTTGTTGAATTTTGCTTTCAAAGCAGAGTTAATGTTTACTCAAAGTGTGGCTTGTCAAGGATTTTAACATACGCATTCCTTTTATCAGCTTTTTTCTCAAGCTTTTCAGACAGTATGTCTCTCCACTGGATTAAAGAATCATTTTAAATTTGATTTTAAATTCAAATAGCTTCAAAAACATATTCTTAGATACTTTGACAGCCTGTATACTAACAGGTAGAACAGTGAGATGAAGATGCTGATGTAAATCAGCTTTGTGCTTAAGAAGAGCTTGACAAGAGTTCACTCCCCATGGTCAGTGCTCTCTGCACTAAGCTGCTAAAGTAATAAAAGGGTGTCAACAACTCATTTTTGCTGTGCTTTGTGGAGAGCCTGATGCATTTAGGAGGCTAATTTGCCTCTTTTGGATATGCCACTATTTTTGGCAAAATGAAGAATTTCGGTGTTATGCAATTTTTTAATGTCTAATTTAAGAGAATTATTTTTAGACATGCGAGTCATTATAGAGGACTTTGTGTTCATTGGGTTTTAGCCAGAGCTTTGGGCATACAGGCTAATCAAACTGGGAGGTTGGGAGCTGAAAGCTCGCAAGGTGAAGGCCACCAAAATAATCATCAGCTGTAAAAAAAACAAACCTTAACTTCATCCAAAGAGTCTGTCAGAGAGCTATGAAAAATTAAAACGTGATATTTCATTTCCAAAAAGATGAGGCTAAAAATGCTATGCCAGTGAGGTATTTTATGCTGTGACCAGTTGTGCTTTCCATTGGAAAAGATACTAATGTGTTTTTTGTGAAGACCAAAAAGTCACATGTGATTATGGAATTGTGGAGCACATTGTAATACATATGCCAAAGTCCATGAGTAAGGATATTTTTTCATACCATACTGTTTTGGTGCTGATTGCTATTCCTGATCCAGCAACTGGTATCAACCATTAGAGTCTGACTTTGCCTCTTAAAGCTTGAGTTATGTGAAGCATGCTTAGTTATTCTGCAGTCTGGGTGTGTATATAGAAACTAGGAAAGGCTAGAGAGTTGAGTTTTTAAAATCTGAAGGCCCTCCTTTGGAACATGCAAACTCTTTTTATTTGGTGACAGAATATTATCAAATGTAAAGAAACAGAGCTGGGAAACGCTGAATTCCTGACCCTGCCCTGCAGCATGAAGATAGATCTTTCCAAAGGAAGACGGTGTGAATATAATAGAATGTGTTAGTCCAAATACTTAAGATTAAGCAGAATTTTGTACACAGAATAATTATTGTAAGTTTTTTGAAATGAGAAGAATCAGTCATGGAACTTTTGTGACAGCCGCTACTGTTAGTCCCAGCTTTCACCTCTGGGAGATACAGAGGTATTCCTATATGCCTTACATTCTGTTCCATTGTGCACATTTAACTTCATTAAAATAAGCCATGTTTAGGCACAGTGAACCTAATTGTTTTTCAAAACAGTCAGATGATATTTTTAAAAAACACATCTGTAGGCAAAGCTTAGGACTTTTTGTACACCTTTCCAAGAGCTTTAGGTATATTCTTTATTCTGCTGAGTCACAACAAATCACAACTTCAGTTATGCCACTGCAGGAGCAAAATAGCTTGTAACTGCTGAAAAGAACACAGTGGGAGTAAGAATATGCCTGTACTGGGGGATAAGTACCAAAACTGGGGCTTGAGGAGAGGTGGGTGCATTTCTTAATTGAGGCAAGAAAAAATTCTCCTTAAACTCTCTAAACACTTTGATAAGACACATTATTTTTTTCTCATAGTCAAGACCTTCTGAAGCAGTAGTCACCACTTTATTTGCAGGATACTTTTTGATACATTGATACTGAGCTTTCCTATCTTCTATTCTTTCTAGAGGATTGCTGTCTGTCACAAATTTAAGCCTTTCCCAATTTCCCAATACTTACAGAATTGATTCAACAAATTCTCCTTAACATTCTTAACACTATTATTGAAAGCACATTTAAAAAAAAAAAAGTCAGGTACTTTTAAGGAGCTTCAGCAGCTTTTTTGCTTGTAACTGAATGAATTCTCTTGGAAAGGTGGAAAATATTCACAGGTATAATGATTTAGCACAGCATTAGCTCTCTACAGCACCGTTGAAGACAAGGCTGCCACCAGTGGAAGACAAGTAAAGGCTTGGCATCCTTAGTAAAAATGGCATTTAATTCTTATTTCTTATTCTTTACTGGTGGGTTATCTGTTGCTCAGGCATTGATGGGTGGCTATCTGACATAGGCTAGGGGTAATTTTATGTCTTTACCCTTATATTTAAACTATAGTTTATATTAAAAATAATGGAAAATTTTCTTAAAACATACTACCTCACCCATCTGATTTTGTGTTGGTTTTTCTCCCCATTTCCTTTTGTTTTCTTTTAGATTATATTTTTCATTCATCTTAGCAAATAACATGCTAATTACATAGAATATTTCACATTTCTTGGTTTTATTAGCTTTTTGTAAATAGCCTGAAAATGCTCTTAGCAGAAAAATCATGAACATTTTCGGCTGTGGTAGAAGCAATCCAGTCAACTGAACCTTACCCATTACTTTTGACTGGGTTCACAACTGCTAATGTTGTGAGTCAGTCTGTTTGAAATGCAGGCATTTGTTGTGGTGTTTTGCACTTTCATTAAACAGTTATTGTGACAAGAACATTTTTGCTGCCCTTCGTAAATATTTGGGGGACCTCAACAGCATTGTTAGGAAAAAGATAAGGAGCGGCATACATTTTTCCAAGCTGCCCTTCTGATCCTAAGCCCATCAAGGCAGGCAAAATTTCTTCCATTGACTTTGGCTTTTGGAGTCATCCCCACTGTTCCTTCCATGTGCCATTATGGATTTCTTCTTTCCTTTCTTTTAAACAGGAGGAAGGGAGAAGGAATACAAAGACATCTCTGCTATCATCACAGATAAAATGCTGCTGGTACTAACCATCTAACTGAGACTAAAAAGACAGTAACAGAATGGTCTGATACTGTGGGGGACCTCTAATAGGTGGTTAGATCAATCAGTTCCTCAACAGAGCCTTGACAAGTTTCTGATTTACTGGGATAAGCCTGTTTCCAGCTGTTAATAATCTAAAAGATTTTAACGTTTGACAAAAAAAACCTCAGCCTGAATTGCCATTGCCAGGACTTTCTTCTTGATTATGGTAAAAGCAGCAGAAATGGTCATCTTTTCAATAATTTTTAGTTCTTTCCTTGACTTGTTCAAGGAGGCAAAACCAAAAATAGCAAAATTATCAGAGGCTGTTCATGGAGGCAAAAGTAACTGAATTGGAACTGCTGAGTGTGAATTAATGCACCGGTGGTCAAACTTCATGTTATACTTGATTACTTCTTATTAAGATGAATGTGTCTTAAATGTCCAGATGTGAATTTGTGATAATTATGTGCAGCTAAAAAGCAGATGTTCTACCAATTAAATGAAACTTCATCACATACGAACAGGGAAGGGAAGCAGTACTGAAAATCATGACACTAACTGTGAAAGCAGAAGGAGACTGCTGTTTGATAAAGAATTTGAAATATTTCTTTGACAAACAAAGCCACTGCAGTATTGTCGCTTGAGGAATATATTATATTTTTCTGAGATGAGTTGTAAAACTCCCACTCAGTTTGGCTTGAGAAAGAATTGAGCCATGCTATTTTTTCACAAATATAATCATTCAGCTATTTTTGGTTTGAATTAGAGTGGTGTCAAGACTTATATATGCTGATTGGTGAGAACTGGATGGTGGTGTTTCACAGGATGATGATTGCCTGGTGAATAGTGTGTTCCAGCTGCAGCACTGCCTGCCTGCTGACATATCCCTTATTAGAAAAGAAGTGTGATAAATAATTCTTATGGCTGTGTGACTTCAGCCAATGATTTTTGTACGCTGCAGGAATACATAGCTTTTCAAAATGACCCTTTATTCTGCAGCTGTGTGAGTCTGGGTGTAATCAAGAAAGTCAAACTGTATATAGATGCAGTTTTAATACAGTTTAATACTAGTTCTTATCTTCAAGTGATTCACAATCTTTCTTATGCAGCTTTTTATTGATTAAGAATAATGGACTTTAAATATTTATATGAATATATTTGCCATGACTAATTTAAAAAATAAAAAAACATAAAAATAAAAACCTTTATATAAATAAGAATTAATGACAACAAATCTTCCATTTTGGAATTTGGTTGGTAATGACAAGATTCTGCTTTGTGTGAAACTCTTCACTGAAAGGAAATCTTTGTTTCTATTTCTTTAATTCTGAGCTTTCAGGTTTCCTAGCTTTTCATAGTAAATTGTTTTCCTGTTGGGTTTCAGAAGTTTCAGATGTAGGGTGAATGGATACTTTTGGAAAACTACAGTTATTGGAATGTGAATATTGAATACAGAATATTGGAATGTGTTACACCCAAGCTGTCTTTCACAGTCCAGCTGGAATGAGGAGATGTTTGTAGTGGCTTGTGATTACTGACAGAGAGCAAGACAGCTCTGCTCCAGTGCTTGTGTGGTTGGCTTTTCTGCTCTCTATAATGTCCACTGGAATTGGCTCTACTGGGGATAATCTCAGTGGTGAAGTGAAAGATACAGTTGTAGGAATGGCTTTTATGTGGTCTTCTGGTGACTTCTAGAGCCACACATTAGAGAAACTCTTATAGAAAAACATGAGAAAGTTTAACTTCTGCTGTGACCATTTTGCTATTCCCTGCATAAATGGAGAAGTTCACTCTTTGATGCTGGGATAACTTTGAAAACACGTCTAAGGGCAGTGGGTTGATTTCTTTCCCCTTCTTCAAAAGAAAGTCAATTAAATGCCTCTGGTGTTAGTTTTTAGCCATTTCCATTACTGTAAAAATAAATATTCTGCAATACTACTTTCTTAAGATATTGCTTTTTCTGATTTGATGCAGAAATAATAATATTTTTTTACCTGATTGTGGACACAGGGTAGCAGATGACTGTCCTGACTTTCCCGGTTCAGGCTTGAGTCCCAGGTGATAGTGGTGCCTAGGGACTTTATAAAGTACTTGGAAATCCCTGCTGACACAGCAGTAATCTTATGAAAATCCAAAGCGTGTAGACATATACCAGAACTGCTAACCAAAGAGATTAAAAAATCTTAAGTGAGGTTACAAAATATATGAGACAAGATTAAACTACCTGCTTAAAAATATTACAGAGAAATTACAGGATTATCATGAGAGTGATACCTTTTTATACCGTCACAATTTTACCTACAGATTTTTAACTTGAGAAGTCAGCCCTTCAACTTTCCATGTACAGTTGCAAGAGAAAAAGTTTTTAGTTTTTTTTGAAATATTAAATTAGGCAAATTATGTAATTTGCATGCTTTACTGTGCTTGAGTATTTGCAGCAATAACTGCAACTATTTCATGTCCTCCCATATCCTTTGTTTCTTAATCACAGTAAATTCATTAATAAGTAGTGGTGATGATTTTTAAATTAAGCATGCAAAATTTGATTGCTGAACTATAGCCTTAAAATCATAACTAAGTGACTTAGTTAAAATCATAACTAAGAAAATACTCTGAGTAGGAAATCCAGGATGCCTGACCTAACAACTAGGATGGAAAATTTAAGCAGGTCCTTCCTTGAATTGTGCTAACAAATATTGATGTAGATAGCTTTAATGAATAGTTCATCTAGGGAAGCTTAATTGTCTCCATGTCTCCAATGAATCTTGTAAAACTTCTGATGTGCCTTTTAAAATTTATGTCACCTTTTTTAAAGAACCTATGTGTAGGTTGGCTTGTGTGTTTTCTGTCATGGGTAAAGGAGGATAAGTGGATGAAGACTCCCATTTTCTCTTCCCTTTCTCTTCAAGACTTAAGAAAGTAGTGTTAATATTCTTATGGGTTATTTATTTCTGGAACTTAGTGAGTTGTCTTTGAATCTTCTGTTTTCAGTCATATGAAGCATGGAAGTGATCAGGTTCAAAATCCAAAGAGAGGCATTAAAGAAATGTATTGTAAATATTTATGTGGGCATTTCTTAATATTTGCCTGAATTGCTAACCTTAGAATGTATTGTAGCTTTAGTACCCTTCTGTGAAGTTCATCCAGACACTATGGATCGTATCTCTTACTTGATACTCTGTAGGGATTAGCATGATAGGTACACAGGCTTTCTTCTTGCCTCCTGGATGGGACAAATGTGTTTCTCTCTCTGTATCCATATATTTATTTCACAGCTGTTACTTGCTACGAATCTTAAGTGGAGACTAAAATCCCTAACATTTAGTGCAGTCTAGAAAAAAAAAACAATGTCCGATTGTGGTTTGCTACATGCAAAGCTCTGTGGTCATGAGCTAAATCTGCCGTTCTTTTTTTTAACTCTTTTTGCTGTTGTGGTTATCATTGCTGATGTCCTTAGGACCTCCAAATGTGGACTTTTACTACATTTTTCTAAGTTTTGTTCTAGGCAAAACAGAGAAATTTGCATAAAATATGTGAGAGACAACACTGACACCAGGAGAGAGGAAAATCCAGGTGAAGTGTGGAACAGACTTGATTGGAGTGGTTGCTGTGGTCTCTGGCAGTCAAAGAGCTTTTATGTTGTTGTAATCATCAGAGCATAGGTGGGACTTTGAAGATAGTATGTTGCAGACATTTATGGTGAATATCTTAAAAGTGTGAGAACAGGGAATTTCCTGAGAGTGCCTCTGTGCTTGCTATGCATTCTTGGTCCGTCACGGAGACTGCAGTCCGGAAAGGAAGGAAACAGAAGCAGTTGTTTCAGTTGTGGGAAGCAGGTTGTTTACGGATTTGTGAACTAATTAAATAAATGGCCCTCTGTGACCCCCTGCGAGACACCGATTTAGGGACTGGCTAAAATAATACTCTTGGGGAATCTAACAGCATTTAGTGAACCTGAGGCTTCACAGCAGCTGCAGGGGTGATTGCAATCTTGAGTCTGCAGTGGCTGCTGCAGATAGTCTCTATGGCAGGGCTGCTCTGTCCAGGAAGCAAAATTCCACCCTACTTTAGGCTATTAGGCTTTTTTTTCCCCCCATCACAGACTGAGTGGTGACAACAGGTTTTTAAACATAAAATGTATCTTCACCTTCTATTCGGTATATATGTCATGTGACAACAAGATTATTTATCTAAACTTAGCAGTTTTTGGAAAGGAAAAATGAGCATATTCTACTATAATATTGAAACTAAGTCAAGAAACAGCACATTGTGAAATTTGACATAATAGCTGACTAAACACTAAAGGGAGTTTTTGCTATATTTAAGGTAAACATCTTTTGATAGTAAGAAATACAATGGCATACTTTTTTATTTACCTTGAACTTGTAGAAGGAGAGAGACCATAGGTTGTCTAAGTCAGCATTTATGTGTTCTTTTAGGATTGGATTCTGATCATAGAGTGCATTCAGGCCAAGGAGATGATGTACTCTGCTGTCTGGTTGTGCACACAACCCATTCTCACTCTCATATTTGCCTCAGACCGCAGCAACTGTGGTATTCTGGTGTCTTATGCTACTGCAGAGCATTACCAGGACTTGCACCCCTGGTGAAGAGATTATGTTAAAAACAAAGAGATTTCTGCTGCTTTACAGTAATAACCAAATACTGAATTATAAACTATTTCTACTACTGGTGTTTTTATATCTTCTGATCCATTACTGCTCATGTATTTGTATTTGAGTTATATTTAATTCCTTATAACTCCTTTTAAAATGAGATTGTAAACAAAAATGGTTGTATGGACCAGTCAATGCATTTTTTTTCAGAGAGCGCAATAGTTTAACAAATGTTTTCATGATAAAGAAATTGTTTTCTTCTTCTTTTCAGATACCATGACCAACAGGATGTTACTAGCAATTTCCTTGGAGCAATGTGGTTGATTTCAATAACTTTTCTATCCATTGGATATGGGGATATGGTACCAAATACATACTGTGGAAAAGGGGTCTGTTTACTTACTGGAATCATGGTGAGTGAATTTGTTAATTGGATATGAGATTGTGATTGCTTTTAATTAATTTGAAATTAAGCCAAAAACTTTTGGTAGTCATAAAGAAATATTCATCTGCTGTCTTGTAGAGGGTATACTTAATCAGACCATACCCAAAGTCTCTCATTCCTAATAATAAAACAGAGTTTTCTTTTTCTTTAAGCAAAAATTTAGCAACTGTGTAATGAAATACAGAGAAACAAATTGCACCCTGACATAATTCAGAAATCTCAGTAAAGTCTTCCATTAAATGTTAAGGTATCATATCATCTTGATGATCTTTGGTAATGTATAATTGGACCAGTACTAATAACGGATCTTCAGTTATGAGTTTCTTAATTTCTTATGAGTTTCTTAAAATTAATCACAAAGAGACATAATGGTGGCTAAATTCTTAAAATTTTTTTGTTTGAGCATAGTTTTCTAGTCTTTCTTACGAGTCTAATAACGTATTATTCATAGCAGTCCATTGCTTTAAGTGGAATAATGTTATGCTATTTGAACAGTAAGACCTTTTGCTACCATTGATACCATGCAGCAATTGTTAGGTTATGCATGCTCAATATATATCTATTAAGTGAATTTCATATCTGTTTTTAATTTTTTGTACTGCACCATTTGGTCAAAGTTGGGCAGGGAGTAAGGCAATGTATTGTAATGGTGGGAAAATTTACAGATATTTACAGTAAATTAGATGTAAACAAGTTCTGGGCTCTGCCATCCTTATTTGTACCAACTTCTGTGTAAATGTCCCTGTGAATGAGAAAGGCTGAATGATTGTCATGTATGTACAGTATGCCACAATAAGATACATACTTGCTTCTGAATTTTTGCCAATGATTATAAGTAATGCATGTATAAGTAATCTGCCTCTGTTAAAACAACTATATTGGGATTATGGCTGAAAGCAAATACTATCAAAGCATTGTCCCTTTTGAGCAGATAGGTTGATAGAAGATTGGTTTATAATAAGTGTACATTTTATGTCCAGAGAGAAAAAAAAGCTGCTTTTTTTTTTTTTTGGTAAGGTTTAAGGATTTTTTTTACAAATAATAAAATAATATTTTATTCAAAATAATCTTTTAAAAAAAAAGATATTTTATTCAAAATAATATTTAAAAAAAACCTGATAGGTTTCAGTTTATTGACCTTTATTGATAAAGATTGACAAAGATTTCCAGTATATTTTGCAAAAGGTGGTAAATGCATATCTCCTTAAATACAGAGTTTGCAGTAGAGTTGAAAGGTGCAGGCTAAAAGCAGAGGAAGGACACACAGGGCTTTTTGAAAGGCTCTTGGCTGAGCTCAAATGTGCCATCTTCTGGGGTGTTTACCTTTGCTCCTTTCTGCATTGGATATTGATGCCAGAGAGAATGAAATGTGGTCATAAATTCACTAGGAAAAGGGATGGGAGAAGCAGTGTTTATTGCCACCTTGCAGGGCAGGGATTGCAGAATTGACAGAATCCTCATACAAAGTCACTTCCACGGCTTCCATGGAAAAGTCAAGTATGGATTTATACATACTGTTTTCACACATTGGCATCTCTTTTTCACAACTGGAAGACTTGTAAAATATATGGATGATACCTTCATGTCTCTGATTGGGTTTTTTTAGTGATTATAAGTTCTGCAGCGGCTTTGGAAGAGCAGACGCTCCAATCAGAATGTCGTGGTAATGAATTTGGGAAAACAAGCCAAGTAGCTGCTGTGTTATGATAGGTAAAACAATAGAAAGGCTAACCACTAACTACATTAAAGTAATCTTTGAGATAAAAAAACATGGAACAATGAGAAAAAGTCAGATGCTGGAATTATTCTGGTACTTTTTTTGGTATTTGCCTTTTGTTTTGTTTTGTTTTGTTTTGTTTTGTTTTTATAAAGGACCTGAGGAGTATGAAGTGTGGCACAGTAAATATAATAATGAACTCTCTTCTAGACAAACCTGTAATACCAAAAAGCTTACAGGTCTTGAATATCATTCTTTAAAACCAATTACTCTTCTGAAACTTGTACAGTAACTAATTAATGTTTGTTGTGGAAAATATAAAATCCTAAAAGAACAGACCTACTGATTTTTATTTCAATAGGAGCAATTGATGATCTAATTAAAAGACACACAAAGGTAACTGTTAAATGGATCTAGTAAAATAAAAACATATATTTGGTTTTAAGAGGTAAAGTGTAATTCCCTAGCATGTGAAGCAGCAAGTGCATTGGATTAGTGTGATCAATGCCAAATACTGCTGAGTATTTGTGTTTGCTTTTGGGTAAGGTCCCTATTAAAATGGATGGAAGGGGGAATAAATAGAAATACTTGTGAATACAAGAGTAGTTACACAGACAACTGAAGAATTAATATTGGCTTTGTGGAACTGGTGGCCCAAGGAAGCCTACTTTGGTGTCTCGATCCCTAGGGATCAATTAGGAAGGTAGACCCTGGTGCCATGTCTACCTTCCTACTTCTGCCTCAGGAATTGCTTTCTGTGCAATGGAAATGGGAGTGCTCAGGCTGAGCTCTGCCTTGTACTCCAGCCTGAGAAGTGGGCTTTGTGCAGTCTGCTGGTGGCACCAAGTTGTGTTGGTGATTGACATTGTAACTACTGCTGTCTTAGGTCACTGATGTAAAGTGACACCTATTAAACTCTACAAATGCACACTGCTGGAAAATATGAAAATATTTACACATATTCAGATTATACCAAAAGGAAAAATGCCTTGAGAATTGTTGAGAGTAAGATAGCAAAGAAGTTTGATAAATGTATTAGAGAAATTGGGGAAAAAACCCAAAATAAATTAAAAAAAAAACAAAAAAAAAACCAAAACACCCCCCCCCAAAAAAAACAACCCTGTGAACAAAAAAATAAAAAAAAATGAACCATTTACATTGTGATCTTGCAAAGCACTTAAATATATGAAACTTTCATAAAAATACTGACACAGCATGTGTCAGTATTTTCATAAAAATACTGACACACATTACAAAGAGGAGTCAATGCAGAAATGTTTTACAGTCAAGCAAGTGAAACTGAACTGGGTGCCTCAACTCAATTATGAAACTTTTACTAGGCAGCAGTAGCAGACTGTGGGCCAGGTGGGCTATAAATTGAGAGCAAATGTATTCTCTGCCCCTTGTGTACTTTAGGTAGGTCTGGAAGAGTGGGTTGGATGGATATGCATACAGCTGCTGTCACTGTTCTCAGAGCAGGATAGAGAGGAAAGAGGGAGACCTGTGGCATCTTTGCTGTGCCGTGCAACTTGTTGGTGTACTGAATTTGCATATGTTTTGTGCCTCCTGGAGCTGCCATGCCTGGTTGTCAATGCCCACCCAGGCAGATCTCTCAGATGCTCATCAGCAAGGTGATCTCCACTACAGGTGGAACACTTTCCTTGTATGGTTTCTAAGTGGAACTGCTTGTGTAGGCAGCACTTCCACTTTTTTAATGGCTTTTTGCATTTCAGGCGTTGGAGTGGTTTGCAAAATTTTCCCTGCATTATAAGGAGATTAATGAAGTTAGCAAAAATTTAAAGAAGTTCTGTAGAAATTGGTAAGGGGGAGTGTGAGAAGATATGGAAAACTTCATAATTATGGACTGTGAGATGGATAACTTTTGCAGACCTTTGTAAGCTTTTGGAGTTACACAAGATAAAACAAGGGCAATCAATTCTTCTGACTGCAAATACAAGGACCTGTTACAAGTTTTAAGAAGGACATTTTTCCTTTTAGATCCAGCATTATGTGGTGAGGTGGTGCTTTTATTTTATGATGCAAAGTTTATGATGCAGAATCTTCCTGCAAAGCCACCCACCAACAGTTAGAAGCAGACATGTAAGCCAAACCTATGTTGCTGCAAATAAAATGGATGAATTGCAATTGTCCTGTCACAGGATGCAGTTGGTTTGGTATAGCTCAATGATGTTTGCTTTAAATGAAATAGATGTTATTTCAAGTGTCTGCTTTGCTAATGTGGAAATTATACTTTAATTGCTTCTCTTGTTGAAATGAACTTCAAAGAGATTATTAGGCTTAGGAAAGAACCAAATAAATACAAAAAGTTTCTTAAATGTATACAATGGCTGTGGACAAGATTTGAGTTTTTCCTTGCAAAAACTTTAAGTGGCATCTTTTAACTACAGTATTTGAAGACCACTCATGTAGATGAAATATTCTTATTAGAGTAGTTGCTATGAAGTCAGTGTGTACAATCTGGCTTTAGGAGCTATTAGTTCTGAATGGTGAATCAAAAATTAATATCTCATTTTAAATCCTCTCATGCTGAAGGTTTTATGTCCTTTGGAAGTCTGCATTTATTTCTAAACAATCACTGTTTCTTTGCTATGAATCATGAAAAAAGTGATGATGATGATGAGGTGTTTCTGGTTTAAGAACAGAGAACTCTTCATCTAAGGCTTAATTGTCATGTTTTTGCAAATGGTAATTGTAGACAGCCTGGTCTTACCAACAAATACAGAGAACTATCTAACATAGGAACGTGGCACTTAGAGTAGCAGTTTCTAACTGTCCTATTTTTTGTGAGTAGCAAATCTTAACTCTATTATTTTTGAAATTTATTATTTGTTAGATTGTAAAAAAAAAGAGGTGATAAACAAGTAGATTCTAACTGCATAGTTAACATTGTTTGCATGTCTTCTGGGATGAGTCCTGAAAAAGAGAAAAAATAAGGTAAACATCAGATTCGAGCAAATATGGAAATTATTTTATAGAACTTTATGGATAGTGTACAAAAAGGTCATAAATTATTGTGTATAATAGTGTCTAAAATGTGTGATTTTATGAAAACTTTTGTTCATGTTGTTTAATTGTGTAGTGTGTCAGAGAAACAATGGTTTATAAAATATAGAAATATATTTTGAATTACAATTTAAAAGCTGAAAAGGTATTATCAAATCAAATTAAAGCACTGTGGTGCATCATTCTGTTGATAAGTAGATATCTCAAACATCTAGAACACTGTTTAG